TCTCGAAGAGCACGAAGTGTGTGACTGTTGCATCCGGCTATTCAAAATGAGCCTGGGAATGGAGTTCTGGGAAGTCGAAGAGCACGAAGTGTGTGACTGTTGGTGAAAAACGAGTTCGGCACAGGCCCGCCCGGCAACTCCCAACACCTGCCCGGACCCCCCTGTGGAGTGATCTGTGACCTCTTTTGACACTACTAGAAACCTATCAGTCTTCGCTGTTAGGTAAAAAACAGTGACGATGTGCACACGCGCGCGTCGTCGCGCGCGCATTCCAAAATCCTTCAAAAACCTCCGGTATCGGGAAGATTCCAAAATCGAATGTCCAAAACAACAGGTTTCGCAACACGGATGTTCGACCAAAGCGTGTGCGCGCGCGCTGTTGCGAATTAGTTGTAACCAATATGTTCACAACATTTTGTCAAACGGGCTTCGCGCGCGCATGTCGAAATCGTTCGAACGCCCTTGCGCGAGTGCGGGGGTGCACGACCCGCGTCAGAGAATACCATGCGGACCACTTTCGCGCGTCTGCCGCGCGCGCATGTCGCACCCCTTCCAAAACCTTCATCACCGACGCGATAACGCATTCATCGTCGCCGACGCGATCAGCATCGGCACCGTCACTGGCTGCCCCGTCGTCGCTGTCAGCATCGCCACCAGCGTCGCTACTATCATCATTGTGTCTACTATTGTCGACGTTGCCATGATACCGCGCCCGCCCAAGTCGCCGACTCGCACTGAAGTGCCCGCTGGGATGTGCCGAGCGGTCAGCGCCACCACGTTCGCGTCGGTCGCGCCAAACTAGCTGGCCGCTGCGCGCGCAAGCATGCGCGGGCTAGCGCGGCCGCGCAGATGCACCAGCCAACACCAAGCACTCATCGCAATCGCTTCCGCATGGGTTTTGCAGACCAAGTTGCGGGTGGGTGGGTGGGATGATTGAGCGAGCAGTGGAGTTGACAACTTCAAGTTTGTCAAATAAACTGCATCACCTACACTGCACCTCGGAGCTGATCATATATATATATATATATATATATATATATATATATATATTCTCCGTTCTAAGCAAGTAATCGGATTTATCCCGCTACCCCCGTGGACAGGACAATGCCGTTTCGCGAGTTTCGGGGCTGCCCCATCGTCCATCCGAAATATCAGCTCAGATCATCCCCGCAAATCGGGCATCCACCCCCCCGTATCCTCTGCAAATAAAATGCGCGCACAGTCGCTTATCAAAATGCCAGAAGGTTTCAAGAATCCCTTGCAACGCAAAAACGGACAGAGTGCACAACCGCGCGTTGTCGCGCGCGCATGCCGATATGCGTCAAAAACCGCGGGCTTCGTACGTCGAATTCTCAACATGTTCATCAAATGCTACCAAACGTGCCTATGTCGAAATCGTTCGGACGCCCCTGCGCGAGTGCTGTCGCAAGGATCCAATGCAACGAACAGGACGAATGGCACGCGCGCGCGTCGTTGCGCGCATGCAGAAATCTGTCAAAAACCTTATCTCTAAAGATCTCCAACAACATGTAAAACAAACACCGTTTTCCAAATACTTGCGCCCGCGCTCCTGCGGATTCTTCCGGAAACCAAATGGCCCTCAACAGCGCCACTACATACTGCCAAACGGGCCTCTCGCGCCGCATGTCGAAATCATCCGAACGCCCTTGCGAGCGTGCTGGGGGGGGGGGCACGATCCGTGTCAAACAATACCATGCGACCCACTCTCGCGCGTCGGCCGCGCGCGCATGTCGAACTCCTTCCAAAACCTTCATCACCGACGCGGCGACGCATTCACCGTCGTAGACGCGATCAATATCGTCGGAGACTTCACTGGTCATGCAGTCACCGTTGCCATCATCACCACCAGCGTCGCTACTATCAGCATCGTGTCTACTATTGTCGACGTTGCCATGATACCGCGCCCGCCCAAGTCGCCGACTCGCACTGAAGTGCCCAGTGGAAGTACCCAGAAGTCAGCGCAAGCGGCCGCGTCGGTCGCGGCAAACTAGCTGGCCGCTTCGCGCGCGAGCATGCGCGGGCTAGCGCGGCCGCGCAGATGCACCAGCCAACGCCAAGCACAAATCGCAATCGCCGCCGCATGGGTGTTGCAAAACAAGTTGCGGGTGGGTGGGTGGGATGACTGCGCGAGCAGTAGAATTGACAACTTCAAGTTCGGCAGGCCCTTTGCACACCATAGAGTGCATCACGTTGATTGCACCACAAAGATGGCATCACATAATATGCACAAAAAAACAAAAAATGCACAACACATAGATTGCATAACATTGATTGCACAACATTGATTGCACCACCGAGATTGCACATAACTTGCGGAGCATAGATAGCCCTACATAGACTGCACGAGATAGGTTTCCCTAAAAAGGAAATAGGTTCTACCACCCTCCCCCCCTGGGGTTAAAAAACCCCTTTTTCGTATTGCATTTTACATATGATTACGCCCCATCGTCCATCCTAGCGGTGAATTCATACTATCTCGCCTAGGCCAGTATCGGCCTCCCCTCGGTTCCCATGCAAAAAATACTATGCGCGCGCACTCGTGTATTAAAATCACACGTTTTCGAAATTCCTCTGCAAAGAATGAAACGATGTGCACAAGCGCGCGTCGTCGCGCGCGCATGCCGGAATTCCTTCAAAACACCTTCGGTTTCGGAAGGAATTTAAAATCGAGTTCGCAAAACAAAAAAAATGCAAAAGCACTAGGTGTCGCATCACGGATAATCTAAAACAGCTTACGCGCGCGCTCTTGCGAAATCTTAAGACAGCCATCGTTTTTTCCACGATCCTCAAAAAATCCGCCGACCCTGTCGGCATGTGTGAGGGTATTGTCCGTTAAAGTCGTCATCTCCCTCATTCGTTGGTCGTCGTCTCTGTCGTCCCCTTTCCCTGCCTCCCGATTTCCCGATTTCCCTGGGCTCGTCGAAGCTCCCCCCTTTCCCAGGGACCTCCTCAGCGCGCCAGCCTAAGCGAAGTTGAGCAACGTCGTAATTGAGTCGAAGGGAAGCCCCTTCCCTTCGATCCCTCCGGGGGGGGGGTCTCGGGGGGGGCGGGGTCCCGGGGGGGGTCAGATACGACGCCCCCGCGGGGAGTCCAAAGCCCCGAGACGGGCCAAGCGTGCCCCAAGAGGCCCCAAAGACAGTCCAAGAGAACCCCGAATCGCCGAACGATTTGTCCAAGACGCCTTGACTGCCTCCAGACGGCCCAAGAGGCCTGCAAAGCGCCCCAAGAGGCCTCCCCAAGATGGTTCCAGGAGAGTGCCCATACGGCCATACGGGGGACCCGAACGGACATTTCGAGCTCTCAGCCCCAAGAGGCCCCCAAGAAGCCCCGAAGAAGCCCCAAGAGACCCCAAGAAGCTCCCAAGGGGCCCCCAAACAGCCCCAAGACAGCCCAGGAGAGCCCCAAATTGCCCAGGAGGCCTCCAAGAGTGCCTCGAGACGGCGCAAGAGCAAGAGGAGCCCTAGACGGCCCAAGACGGCCTCAAGAGAGCCCCAGGCTGTCTCAAGAAAGCCTCTGGCCTCCTCCTCTTCCTCCTCCTCCTCCTCCTCCTCCTCCTCCTGCTCTCCTCTGCCTCCTCCTCCTCCTCCCCACCCTCTGCTCCCCCTCCTCCTGCTCTCCTCTGCCTCCTTCTCCTCCTCTTGCTTCTCCTCCACATCCTTCTCCCCCCTCCCCCGCCCTCGTCCACCTCCTCCGCCATTCCTCCATCTCCCACTCATCCTCCTGCACCTGCCCCCCCTGGTTTTCATCTTCGTCGTTCTCAGGGTCGGCGGCACCGGCCGTAAGGCCTTCGCAATACTACCAAACGGGCTTCGCGCGCGCGCATGTCGAAATCGTTCGAACGCCCTTGCGCGCGTGCCGTCGCGGGAATCCTTGACAAAAAACTTGACGAAATGCACGCGCGCGTCGTCGCGCGCGCATGCCGAAGTCCTTCAAAAACCTTCGGTTTCAGAAGCATTTCAAAATCGAGTGTTCAAAACACATGCAAAAACACAGGGTTTCGCAACTCGGATTTTCAACAACAAAAGCGTGGGCGCGCGCTCTTGCGTCGTCGTCGTCGTCGCCGTCCTCCCCCCTCCATCGTCGTCGTCGTCGACGCCGTCGTCGTCCTCTGTCTTTCCTCGTTGTGGTCGTCCTCCTCTTAGGCGTCGTCGTCGTTTCCGTCGTCGTTGTCGCCGTGGTCGTCCTTCATCCTCCCTCGTCGTCGTCGTCGTCCGTCGTCGGCGCCTCGTCGTCGTCCCTCCTATTTCGTCGCCGTCGTCGTCGTCGTCTTCCCTCCTCCCTCGTCGTTGTCGTCGTCGGCGTCGCCGTCCTCTCTCCTTCTTCGTCGTTCGCGTCGTCGCCGTCCTCCCTCCTCTCTCGTCGTTGTCGTCGTCGCCGTCGTCGTCCTCACTCCTCCCTCGTCGTCGTCGTAATCGTTGGCGACGTCGTCGTCGTCGTCGTCTTCGTCGTCGCCGTCGGCGGCGTCGTCGTCGTCGTCGGCGTCGTCGTCGTCGTCGTCGTCGGCGTCGTCGTCGGCATCGTCGCCGTCGGCGTCGTCGCCGTCCTCGTCGTCGTCGGTGTCGTCGTCGTCGTCATCGTTGTCGTCGTCGAAGTCGTCGGAGTCGTCGTCGGTATCGTCGTAGTCGTCGTCGGCGTCGTAGTCGTCGTTGTCGCTGTCGTCGTCGGCGTCGGTGTCGTTGCCAAGTGCCATTTGGTACCGACCGTCACGGTCTTCAGAGGTCTTGTGACCAAGTTGCGCTTGGGAGGGTGGGATGTTTGCACGCGCAGTGGAGAGGACAGCTTCAAGACAGCCAAGATTATGAAATTCCACCACATCGACTGCACAGGACTGATTGCTAGAAACTGTTGTGGGGTCCACGATGGCTAACACGTTGTACATTCGGGGAAGGCTTACGAAAACCTCTCGGGAGGCCCGAGACCTCCCGAACCTTCTGAGGAGGCCTGCCCCGTCTGACTTCCCCTGTGGGCTCGCCGCCGACTCTAGTAGCCGGCATCCTTGTTCATGCAGCCCTTCGAGAACTGGCTGCGCCAGTCGTAGCCGTACAGCCACATGTTGATCCTGAGAGGGCGCCGCCGACCCCATCCGCCTCTCCTCTTCTTCCTCCTCCTCCGCCTCCATCCATTCCTTTCCTTGCAAGCAGTGGCTGCAAAAGGTTGTCAGTACCTCTGGCAAGACAAGGGAGAGTGTCAAGCCCGACCAGTGTCCACCAATGTTCCACGTGGTCGACGGCAACATCGCTCCAGCGTGCAAACAAGAATTTCTAGATGTTATTTGCTTTCGGTCGGACCTAGACCAGAAGAACATTCCTCAAGAACATGAGACCCTCCGTCGGCCAGAACAGACAGAACAACCAAGGGTAGCGTCCCCAGGATGCACCTGAAAATCCAAAAACACGCGAAGCACTTTGGAGCACCCTCCCTGAACCGACCTCGACGTTATACCTCGGTCCGACTGTACTCAGAAGGGCCATGATGTGCGTGGAAGTTGTGGTCCTCTGGCAGGATAATTGAGAGTGTCAAGTCCGATCGGTCCCCACCATTGTTGCACGCGGTCGCGGCAACATCACCCCAGCGTGCAAATGATAACTTCTAGATGCTCTGTGCTTACCCAGGTGGGTCATTGTGGCGGACTCTGGACACCCTGGAAGCCCAAAACAGTGCTCACCTCTCGTCTGTGCATCCTCTACTTCCGCCGCCTGCCGCCAGCCTTCCGCCGGCCTTCCGCGGGCGGCGGCGGCCTCGTTTTGCTTCCGCCGCCTTCCGCCGCCCCTCCGCCGCCTTCCGCCGAGGAAGAGATGGCAACTCCTCCCATGCTCGAAGGCACGGCCTTCTTGGAGCGCCCCGTGCACGTGGAAGCTGCAGCGGCAGAGCTGGCGCGGCTCTGATCGCCACTGCTCGCGCCGACGAGGTCGTGCGCCCACGCGCCAGGGGCGGCTCGCGCCGACACGTCGCGCGCGCGGGCCCCAGATGCTCCACTCGAGCAGGCTTGGTCTGAGACGAACAGAGACATACTAGTACTATGTGCCCTCCTTAGATGCGCGCGTCCGATCCGAACATATAGTATACCCATCTTGTAGTACATCGTTTCCCGAGCGGTGTGGCCAGAAATCGCCCGCCACGACGCATATACCAGAATATGTCTTGGTGCGTGCGACGCCGCTGGGGGGAGCGACGCACACATAATCTTAGAATGTTGGGGTGACGCCGATCTGTTGCCAATCGATCTTGAGTGCGTGTGTAGCCGTGCCCCTGTCCAGGTCCACTTGTCTTCAGTCTCCCGCCCGTGTGGACGGGCAGGGCGATCCTGAAGCCGAAAGGAGTGCCTGAAGCCTTCTGTGGGAGGGCTCAAAGAGTCGTCGCAGTTTGCCAGGCTCGGACTCGTCGCCATTTGCTGGACAGGTGTGGCGGCTAAAATCTGTCGTCGGCACGACGTGCTCTGCGCGCCAACACGTCCTGCGCCGGTACCAGAAACGAGTTGCGAAAAAATGTGAAACTGTTGATGTGCCCTTGCGTGCCCTTGATGCCGTGCCGTCGCCAGGGCCGTCTGTGTTTTGTATTCCACCTGCCTGCTTTGATGGATAGGGGAGCTTCTAAAGCCCAAGAAATGCAAAACAACTTTCTGGTGTTCTGTCGGCGTTTTACTGGACGGCTCGACGTCGTCGCAGATTTGCCTGACTCGGATTCATCGCGTTCTCCTGGATGGCTCGCGTTGATTCGTCCACAAGGCGCATCGGGCTCGGCTCTGTGCGCCAAGTCCCCAGCGACAAGGGAGGTGTGGGCCTCCCCCATACTCCCTAGGGGAGGCCGAGGTGAATGAAGACCTGAGGAGGTTGACGAAGCCAGAGCACGGTAGCACGCTGCTGCCGCAAGATGTTCCTGGTTGCTCTCCCCCACTGGACTCCAACAGCTTTCACCTGAAAGCCTGGCTGACTGCCTGACAGGCAATGCAATATGCCCTGCCTTGCTTCAAGCTTGATTGGTCGCCTAACGTCCGCATTTCCAGGGCCCGTTGAGCGTTGTCGGTCGATCCCCTCCGCCACTCTCGGGCCCTCGCTTCACTCGCGTTTCGGGTCCGCGTCGGTCCGCCTTCCTTCGTTCACGCGGCTTGCTTCGCTTTCGGGAGAGTCAGAGCTTGACTAATGTTACTCCCATCGCACTTAAGGACCACATCCCAGAAATCCGCCGACCCTGTCTGCGTGTGTACCCCCTGTCGGCGTGCGCTCAGTCGACGCATCCGTTGTCCTCTTTCCCTGCGTCTCCGTCGTCCCCTTTCCCTGCACCCTCCTCTTCAAGCCTGCCAGCGAGAGAAAACCGTAGCAACGTCGTACTTAAGTCGAAGGGAAGCCCTTCCCCTTGATCCCTCCCCCGCCGAGGGGGGGGGGGGTCCCGGGGGGGGGGTCCCATGGGGATCCCGGGGGATACGCATCCGCCCCTGGGCATCCCGGAGCCCAAAAAAGCGCCAAGACGCGCCAAGAGTGCCCTAAGAGGCCCCCAAGAAGGTCCAAGAGTGCCCCGAATCGCCGAACGATCTGTCCAAGACGCCTTCATGGCTTCCAGACGGGTCGAGAGGCGTGCAAGACGCCCCCAGAAGCATCCAGGATCACTCCCAAGACGGCCCCCATGAGACCCCCAAGAGGCCCAACAGAGGCCCCAACAGGCCCGAAAAACATCCAAGAGGCCTTTCAACCACAACCCCAGCACGGCGGCGGGAAGGGCCGCATGCCACAAGGCTCCCTGTCTGTCTCTGCTACGACTCCCTCGGCCCATATGGGGAACATTTCCTTCGCCTTCTCCTGCTCCCTTCCACCTTAATCCCCCTCCTCCTCCTACTCCTCGTATTCGTCGTCGTCTTCAGGGTCGGCGGCACCAGCCGTAAGGCCTTAGCAATAATGATACCAGAGAGAAACCCCAATCATAATCTTTTTAGGGCTGTAGGGCTGTAAGGCTACAGGGCTATACGGGCTTCTGGGCGCTACATGGGCTATATGGCTATATGGGTTATAGGGCTATAAGGCTATAGGGCTATAGGGCGATAGGGATATAGGGTTATAAGGCTATAGGGCTATAGGGCGATAGGGCACCTGGGCACCCGGCACCCGGCACCCGGGCACCCACCCGGGCACGGGGCACCCGTCACCCGCGGGCACCCGGGCACCCGGGCATCCGGGCACCCAGGCCTGGCCACCGAATCGGCGGCGAACCCGGGCACCCGGGCACCCGGGCACCCGGGCACCCGGGCCCGGCCACCCAATCGGCGGCGAACCCGGGCACCCGGGCACCCGGGCACCTGGGCACCCGGGCCCGGCCACCGAATCGGCGGCGAACCTCACCTACCCTGAAATCCTCTGGGACCCCTACACAGGCAAGCTCTGATTGGGGAATTTCGAGCACCCGGAAAAATGACCAAAGAGTGCCGAAACAGTGTCGAAACAGTGTCGGACGAGTGTCTCCCAGGGCCCGACACGTGAAAACCCTCGAGTTTCGGTGCTTCTCTGGTGCTCGAATTTGTTTCTGGTGATCAAGGCTAACGTACGTTGGAACATCAGAAGGCTTGACGCGAACTCACGTCCAAATAACATCCTCCTCCTCCTCCTCACCCGCCCTGTGGGAGGGGACGCGGGGAGCCGTGGCCACACAGCGCCCTGCACCGACCCTTGAGGAGAGCAGTAACCAGGCTGGGAGGAAGGGCCTGGGAGGATGAAGGGTATGAGCAATAGCGTCTAGATGCAGGGAAGGATACCTTCGGCCGCCTACGGGTAATGATCTCCTCACTTCTCCCGCCCAGAGATCCGACGTCGTTTTTTCCCTGAGGCCCCCCCGGAAGTCTCGACCCCATTCCCGAGGACCGGCTTTTCATCCTGACTCGTTGTTTGACAGCCCTTGGGCCCGGCAAGGGCCCCTGGAGGCCGAAAACTGAAAGCAACCTCCGTTTTGATGTTTTCAGTGCGTTGGATTGCTGGGCAACCCCAACCTCCCAGCCCGAAAAACGGTGCTCCCGAGCCCCGGCAACGCCCGTCCCAGGGAGCCCCAGATCGGCGCGCGAGCGCGCCCCCCAGGCCTCGCCAGTGCTCACTGCACCGACCTTGCAGACGTGCTGCAGCGCATTGTTGTGTGGACTTCTGCTAATGCAAAACCCCGAAACAGCGAGTGAAAAACGAAATGCGTTTCGCGTGGATTTCGTGTTTGCCTTCCTCCCTGGCCGAAGAAATCCGCACGAGATTCACCTCGAAATCCGGAACCGAGAGCCTCCAGGACAATCTGAGCGCCATGACAGCGCAGGCCTCAGGGCCCCGTAGACCCGGACACGCTAGACCCGGACACCCAACACCCCTCGAAAACAATTTTTCCAAACGGCGGCACGGACTAAATGCTGCACTGCAACATTTCCAGAATAAACCCGGACACAGGCCTCAAAAAGCCTGCAAGACCCCCCTAAACCCGGACACAATCCCGAATCCTGCAGTGCAGCAAACAAAACATGCACGGGTGCTGAAAAACGTAACTTTGCAGGAAACGATGTCGTTTCCTTGGTTTTCCGTGTCCTGGTTTATCTGTGTCCTGGTTTCCGGGGGCCTGAAGGCCCCATAAAGGGTCGGGCCCGGAAGGGCTGGTGCGCGTGCCAGACCTTGGGCGCGCGACCGGCGCCGGGGGCGCGCGACCGGCGCTGGGGGACAGGCCGGCCGGGCCGGAGAGCCCACGAATCGCATCGGCAAGCCGGACCAGCGATCGCCAGGAATCGGACCGGCGGAAACCGGCGGCCGAGTCGGCGGATAAACCGGTAGGCTATAGCGCGCCTCGAAGCAAAGCTCGGAGCCCACATCGGAATCCCAAAAGTCGAATCGGATCGGAATCGGAAGCCGTCGGAATCGAATCGAACCGAATCGGAAGCGCCGAAATGAACCGTGGCCGGGGTAGGACACGAAGTACCGGCCACCTTCGACGGCGCGGGAAGCGCGCGGCCCACGCGGCAGGGCCGCGCGGCCGCCGCGGCCGGCGCGCGTCTGGCGCCCGCGCGAGGCGGCCGGCGCGGAGCCGCGCCGCCACGCAGAGGCCGCGCTGCCCAAGGAGAGAGCGAAACGGCGCGCGGCCCCACGGCAGGGCGGCGCGGCGCCGCGTGGCGAAGCGGCGACACGCTGGCCTGGGATCTGCGGCGAGCCGAGGAAGCCATCCGAGGGTCGAGGCAGAGGACGCCATTGGGTCTCCATTGAGTCTGCGCGAAGCCCGCTACCCCATCCGTCGCAGACATGAAGGACCCCGTTGCAGCGCGCATCTACCCCAAGTCCCCCCTCCCTCCTCCTCCCTTCGAAGCCAGTGGCGACCTGGCATAGGCCTGAGCGCGGCGGGGCAGCGGGACAACCCTTCAGATCCGAAGAAGATCTCGCCGGTGCACGGCGCCTTGGGGCAGCAGTGCAGATGCGCGCGCGCAGGTGGCGACATCCGAACCCAACACCCACCAACCATCGATTCCCCTGAATCGATGGGAGGCGGGGGTCGGGTTTGGGTTTCGCCTTGCGTTCGACGAATGCCGAAACCCGACCCCGCCGCCCACGGAGCGATCTGCATCTCGGGCGTTGGACTCCGCCGAGGGTCATTCGAGGACGCCCCAGGACAAAAAGAAAAGAGAAACGACGAGGGTGAAACCAAATGGATAAAACGGGCGGGGTACAGTTGGGCAGCTTGGCAAAATGTAAGCCATCGCGCGATCAGCGCCGATGCTACGATCATCCTCCAGCCCGCCCCTCCATCAGCGCACCCCCACGTCCCAGTGCTTTCCATGCCTCGCAGCAGAGACTGGCGAGAAGGGCCCCCGAATATACATCGCGCACCTCGGAGAAGGCATTAACAGGCGATGCCCGACCTACGGGTGCGACGTCGCCAAATGTGGACGCGGCCGCAAGAAGCCCTCGCAAGAAACCCAGCCCTGAAAAGCCGCGCGCGCGCGATGTGCACGGGGGAGACCATGAACGCCCCGAACGCAGCAGCTTCTTCAACGGCGGCGAAAAGTCACCGCGCAGCGCGCGGAGCGAAGAACCCCAGGGCACTCTGACGATAATCGCATGGCTTCTTGATGCGCGTCGCCACTGTATAGGAGCGCAGGAGCGAACTGAAGTTAGGTCAGGCATGTCCTCCTACAGGCGGATGCTCGAAGACAAATTAGCCGGACAAAGGACCCAACCAGACGCGGCCGAGAGCACCGCGAAGGATAAGAGACGGAGGAGGCGCCCTCCACCTGCGCCATCTTCGCGCCAGCTGGTCTTCAGCCCCATCCTGGGTGCGCCGCGGCGTGCGGCCGCGCTGCTCGTGCCAAGCCAATACCTCGCGGAACGCAATGGCAGCTCGATCCTGTCTGCCTCTCGCTGTCTGGGGAGTCGGGCCCTGGCTGCGCGCCGACCCTGGGGCGCCCCGGCCGCGCGAGCCCGCGGCAGAGGCGCCTGGCGTCTGCAGACCTGGCTTCACAAGGGCTCCCCTCCCGGGGTCGGGAAGGAGCGCGGCGACGCAGCACGCTTCCCTGCCACCCTGCGCCAAACTGGGCCCTCCCGCTGTCGCTGCGGCGTCTGTGGGCCCTGCCTCTGGACCCGCGCAGGCTCCTCTTTCAGGCGAAGGAGCTCCCCCGCCTGCCGATCGGGGACGCGCTCGATTCGCCTCCGATCCGCCGCGGCCCTGTCCTCGGTGTTGAGCAGAGGCCCATGCAAATATGCTCCTTTTTTAGATATCAGACGGACTTGAAATTTAGAACCCGCTGCTCGCGGCTCCTCAACAATCCTGACCCTGAATTGGACCCCGCTGCCCTTCGGGGGGCTTCTGTGCGGCGCCGCAGGGGCCGCGCCGCCCGGAATCTCCCCGACTCGCGCCCGTCGTCCCGGGCCGGGCGAGGAGTTCGGGCAACGAGCGGGGGGTATCCGTTGCGGGCGTCGCCCGGCGCGCACCCGCGGGCCAACGGCGCCAGCTTGAGCCGCAACGCGCGCTGGCAGAGGTGCGGCCTCCGAGACGGCCAAGACCTCCCAGATCTCCCCAATGAGCCCCAAGAGGGCCACAAGTAACTCCCAAAAGAGCCCCAAGGGGGCTCAAAGAGGCCCACCCTCCACCCCACCCTCTACCCTGCCCTCCACCCCCCCTCCACCCACTTCCATGTTGGCCAAAGATGGCTCCACGAAGGCCCTAGATCGCCTAAGATGGCCTTCAAAATTGCCCAAGACAGCCGAGCATGGCGAAATATAGCCTCCGCCAGACCTCCAAGAGGCCTCAGGATAGCCTCAAGATGGCCCAAGATAGCCGAGCATGGCCTAAGATAGCCTCCGACAGCCTCTAGCAGAGCATGGCACCAGATAGCCTCCAAGAGGCCTCAAGACAGCCTCCCATGGTTTCCGGATGGGCTGGTGGGGAGACGCGAAGCGTCAAGAATTTGCGTTTCAACTGGCCCCCCGTGGTCGATATCCTCCTCCTGCTGCTACTCCTCGCATTGGGTTGAGATCTCTATG